TACGTGAAATACGGGTAAAACAAATCTTGTACCGAACTCGGCTGGTCGGCCTAGGCCGAACCGGGCCGACTCGGTCATCGGCCTAGGCCGCGGCCGATTCGGACCCCCCGGCAGCGGCCGGGCGTGCAACATAGCCTGCCCCCTCTCAGAGGGGCCAATCCATGGGAGGTCAGCAGAGAGTTAATCAGAGCGAAAACGGTATTGGAGGTAATCACTTAGTAACCCCCCATTCCCGCCTTGGTTCCTTGGTAGAGGAAAATCCAGGTCCTTGGGTCCCCCGTACGGTCTGATCTCCAACCCTCAACAGTATAATTCCCCGATGCCTCCCTGGATGAACCCAATGTACTGGCCATGAAATACTATGCCATATCCCTACGCCCACTCAATCGTACAGAGACCCCATCCTTAACGAGTATGGCCAGTACGGAGCAGGGGAGAGGTTGCATGGCTCTCACCTCCAACCGACCCCACAGTATGGGGTTTATGAGTCAGGCCCGTACGGGACCCCTCCGCCACACCGTAGCCATAGTGGCTCCCAGCGCAGGGAGAGATGGGAAGGTCCGCAGCCCGCCCCAGCTGGATCAAGGGCCTCAAGAGGGACAGGTCACAGGGGATATTACGAGGACCCGATATCGAAGAAGCCGCCTCGAAGCTGACAGGAATGCTCAGAGTCATTGACGGGGAGTTCAGCAGGGTCTCACAGGAGAAAGGGATGTGAGTCTGATACAACGAAAAAAAAAGATTTTAGGAATAGACATGGAACGAACTGAACCCCGTATGCTGGTCAGATCCTGATGGTGAGGATGATTATTCCCATCGTCTGTACCTCCGTCCGGGATGTTATTTATTTTCTTGGAATGGACAGCTCTGAGGGCAAAGCATACCTGCCTTGAGAGCGAATGGAACGGACTCCTACGCCGGTAGATGTAATTAACTCGACCAAAAAGTTGTTTGGTGGCGTCTTCCCGATTAGGCTCGTTCCAAGGTCGACGATGGTCAATTGCATCGTGCCGCTGTCTGACAAGCTTTATAATTTGTATTTTCCCGCGTGGACGCGATAATCAATACTGCCACAGCCGACCTTTTGTCGCAGGCAAGAATCGGGTGGCTTCAATTGGATGCAGTACAGGAAAGAAACAGTCTGGATGGCAGCAGTTGCTCTGACCGCAGAAGTAAACGCCCTCCTGCTGCTGCAACTTACTGAAAAGCTACTAGAAGAGGAGAACCTCCATTCCAAATTCGTAGCTAGGGCATTGGTGGAGGGCACTCACCATCACAGTCATGCTTTCATGGTACCTCGAGGCACAGCTCTATGGCCCAGTCACCTTCAGTGGCTTGGGAAAGATAGGCAGACGAATCGACAGGAGTCCCCTGCATCCAACATACAGCAGGCGAAGAGGAACCTCATGGTTAAGTTGAGAGTAGGGACATGGAACGTGCGGGGGATGAGCAACACCACGGACCGCTTCGAGGAGAAAAGAATCAAGTCATAGACTCATGAGGAGAATTTAGATTGTGTCTGCATCCAGGAAACCAAACTGAATGAAACGAAAGTAATGGAAGTAGGTACATGGTGGGATGACCCACAAGTGTGGTCACCTGCGCAAAGCAAGCAAGGGGGTGTGGGGATCGTGCTCCACAAAAAGTTTCAGTCTCAATCAGTAGATCAGGAAGCAGATCTTTGGGGGAGGTGGTCATGGCTTAGTTTGAAATTCAGCTCTCACATCTTGGTGATCATGAATATCTATACCCCTACTGATCCCACGAGTAAGGCTACCTTTTACAAGTCCCTCCTCCGTATCATCCCTTGGGCAGACTACATTTTAGTGGGGGGGGGATTGGAACCTCTCATTAGATGAGGCATTGTCTGATGGAGCCCCCTTGGCAGGAAGAAGGGATGCGGTGTCTTTGCTGGGATTACGACAGGAAAAGGATCTATCGATCTCTGAACCCTGATGATCTAGGGTATACTGGGTTCTCCCATATCAGGAGGGACCAAGGTACAGTAACTCGAAGAAGACTGGACTATTTTTTGTCCAGCAGTTCATTGGTCGAGAGGGTAACTGCCCTTAGACACCATGTTAATTCCATGTTCGACCACAAACTGGTGGTTCCGGGGGTGGTGATGGACACAAAGGCAAACAGGAGTTAAGCGTATTTTAAATTGAATAGTCACAATCTAGAGGAACAGGGTTTGAAAGACTGGTGAAGGACTGGGTGAAGGATCATATGACGGTTGGCAATCAGCCAGCGGGCACTTCTCTGACACGGCGAAATGGCTTGATGGTGGGATTGCCACCAATTCAGCTATGCTAAATGTCTGCTCCAAAATCTTAGCTAGGGGAAGAAATCAGAAGGAAGAGGTCTGCAGGAAAAGGATTGAAGCGGCGGAGAGAAGGATAGAACAGAACCCAATATCGGAATTGCTCTGGGCCGTGGAGAGGGAACACCGATTAGCAGAGTTAGAGAAGATTCTGGTGGAGAAGCATGTGCACTGGGAAGAAACTTTGAAGCTCTAAGGCATCATGGTACATGACAGACTCACAAAAGAAACATTTTCGAAACTCCTTCCGAACCGCCATTCCACCAGGTGGTTCAGTTAACACACCCGTTCAATACAACAACACCTCCAGCGACATTGGCAGCGGAGATGCTCGAGTATGCTCCTCTGTATTACGAAGATATTATGACCTCCAGACGGTGGTCTGAAACAGTGGAAACTGACCTGTCCTTAGAGATCGACATGTGGAAGGAGACAACTGGGTTTCTTACAGAACAAGAGCGGTTATCACTAGATAGACCGATGACCTCAGAAGAACTTCAATTTACACTGAAACAGATGGCGGCGAAGAAGTGCCCAGGTATTGATGGACTGACTGTAGAATTTTACAGGGCATGATGGGAAGTGGTAGGGTCAGCCCTGGTGGAGGTATATAATGAGATTCTGACCGGAGGGAGATTGGGGAAGATAATGTCACATGGAGTAATCTCGGTCATGTTTAAAAAAGGTGACAACACGAATATTCGAAACTACCGTCGAATCTCAGTCTTGAATGTAAGATATAAAATCTTAGCTAAAACATTAGCTCCTATATTGGGCAGGATTCTTCCCCGGCTGATTGAAAAGGACCAGGGAG